ATTAGTGTACGTACTCGTTCCATTTTCTTGCTTTTACCCGGCTGCTCACTAGGCTCCTTATAAGTTTTTTAAAGCATGGCAAAATTATCGACACTCTGTGTGATATCTGAAATACCTTGGACAGCTGCCAAGTTTCGGCCTCGTTCTCCATCCGTGCACCTGACAGCTTTTCCAGTTAGTGGGATTAATGATGCATCGCTCGGCGGTCAACCTGCAGCTGTGACGTTCTTCTCATGCCATTGCCAGCAGCTGTGCGGCTATCCCACCAGAAGCACTTCTGATGTGTGCAATGTGGTAAATAATTGAAGTTGAGGAGGGAAGAAAAATTTCTTTGAGCGGGTCACGAGAGATTATTTTACTAAAGTACTGATTTCATGTGGGAAGTGAAAGAGTGGCATGAAGCGAGGGTGAAATGAGATGGAGCAGGAAAAAATTACCAAAATTTTGCAAAATTAACATTTCAGGTGTCTCTAAATTTTGAAAATTGTTCAGTCTGTTTTCGTAGACAGTGAACAGCGCTAGATGCAGCTAATTATGCATAAACCGTAGGATTAGTCATGTAGAGCTTCTCCCGGAGAAGTACAGCTTGATTTCTGAAATGATTTAAAATTAAATCTTGCTACTTTCGTCAGCGAACTGAGGATGAACCAGGAAGAGATGGGAAACCAAATAAGCCCAGGGGTTCTCGTCTCCTGTTACTCCATCCCCCTTGCATTTCAGTGCAGATCTGTGGATGGGATTTTTTTGCGATAAGAGATTCATGTCAGTTGGTGAAACACAGGAGCTTTGGTGCTTGCCTTTTGCTAACGTATTGGAAGGTAAAGTGATGACCCGTGTTGGATTGGAGGGAAGGCGCGCCAGGCGTAAGGAATCGGGGGCGAGGATTAAAAGGGTTTTCAGAATGCTGTGCAAATAAACTGGGGGCTGCTTTGAGAAGTGTTTTTCAGTGGGCTAGCAGCCTATGCTAAGCTGCTTATTACTGCTGTTGGAGGTGCTGCCAGTGTTCTTCTCTCTCACCCCATCCGTCTTTCGTCCCCTAGTCCCTCCCCCTTCCCTCTCCGCTTCTCTCGTCTCTCCTGGTCCTCTCTGCCTTCCAACTGGGTTTCATCATCTTCCGGTTTTGCAGGGTGGGCCGGAGTACGATTTCGAGCAGAGCGAGTTGATCCTCTATCAGAACATGATATTGCGTGAATCTGGGCAGTTGGAATTGGCGCTAAGCAAACTTGAAGAGAATGCTTCGCAAATCGTTGACCGGGTCACTTATATGGAAACACGAGGTATGACTTTGCCATCGAGCATCGCGATACTTAAGCAAGCATCAGTTGCAGATACCTCGAAATCCAGTGAAAATGCCTTGTTTATAGTATATCTTGTGGAATTTACAGGTGAGCTGCTGATGGCCTTGGATGATAAGAAGGCTGCGGAGCAGACCTACTGGCAACTAATATCAAGGAATCCAGAAAATCTCATGTATTATAAGCAGGTGGAGAAGTGTCGAGGTTTAGGTACGGTGTTTTGCTATTCATGCTCATCATAGTTTTGGATGAAAGTATATAAATGCAGTGTTTCGAGAAATTGAATTGGCTTCGTTACTACTTCCGAAAGTAACGGTCAGGCTTTGGTTCCTAGAAAATTGGCAAACTCTTCCGAAGCACAAAAACTGAAATAGATTTCTTATAAAACTGCACACACACACGCACACACACACACACACACACACACACACACACACACACACACACACACACAC